TCTTCTTCTTCTTCTTTCTCTCTCCTCTGGTCTTTATCTCTTTGCAAGTGCTTTCATTTCTTTCGCAATTGGGTGGCATTGTCTTTCATTGTGAATTTGCACTTGGGAAATGACCAGGATCGTAACAGTCGTTTCTTAAGATATGTGTCCACTTGTATGAACGAACTTTGTTACTAGGATCTGTGTCGAATGGCCAAGATTTTGTCTCAGCACTGATGTTTCGACTGGTTGATCCATTGGGAGGTACTGATTGGCCAAATGGTCAGCTGCTGGAAACACGATGCCAAGGAAGTTCAAAATCTTAAAAATCAGCAGCTGATTAACTAACAGTAATTTACGGTTTGCATCATGTGGAGGCAGGACAATATGGGGCTCGAGCTTGACAGGAGGAATACCTTACGAGCTTGGGAATCTGAACAAATTGGAATACCTGTAAGTACTAAGTACAAGATATAAGAATGTCATTTTTGAAGCTTGTTATTCGTTGTGGTTGGTTGGCTTTAAATCCTTCTGGCTGAGCTTGTGACCTTGTTGCCACTGGTTGTGACGTATGTGCACAAGTAGATAGCAGGTTGCACACTAATGGTTAATAGGTGGGAGAGGCAGTTAACGGAGACCCAAATTTCAGTGTCTATAGGAAAACCAGAAGGCCTTTTTAACCAAAAATTGCATCATTCCATAGAGGGCACACCATATTAACAAGCCATTAAAAAAAAAAAAAAAAAGCGTGAAACGGTAAGGCAAAAGTGCACTTGAATGAAATTTTGCTTTCAGCGAATTTTCAGAATTCTCAGCGTTTTTTGGAAATGGTAACAACAGACAATTCCAATGGACAAAGACACTTCAGAACATTGAGAAATAGTCACTAGACTCAATTCCAACAGCCAAAAAACAGTTCACCCCGTTAACCACTGGTAGCCAGGGCTGGGCCGGCAACCGGCCGGTCGAGTGTGCCCGGTCCAACAGGGGCTGGACCGGCCCAGGGGGGGTCATCCGGCAAACCGGATGGTTCAAAAAAATGGCCAAATTTTTTAATTTTAATTTTATTTTTGCGGGATCGGACTGCGCTTGCTGAGATCTGTCCGATTCCGCAATAAAACTTGGGCTGTCGGATATTTTTTTAGGGGTGTGCCGGGGGGGGGTCGAGGTCGAGAGTGGTAAGGGGGGTGTTGCGTCCAGGGTTTGCAGGATCACAAGGCTATGGCTAACAGACGAGGAGAAGGACTGTCTCTTATACACATCTAGATGTGTATAAGAGCATGCATGCTTTCTTTCTGTCGTGTAATGACCCGCCAAAAACACAGACTGAGAACACTGCTGATTTCTGGGATTTGCTGCTGGAATGAATGCCTT